GCTACCTTGGCTTGCAGATCACCCGGGACAGAGCACAGCGCACCATTACCCTGACTCAGTCACACATGGTGGAGCAGGTCCTTCAGCGCTTCGACTTCACGTACTCCTCGCCTCAGGCCACTCCTCTGTCTACTCGCCACTCGCTCTCAGCTCTGCCTTCGGATGAGTCCGTAGAGCCGAGTGGCCCGTACCCAAAGCTTGTTGGCTGCCTAATGTACCTGATGACCTGCACACGACCTGACCTTGCATACCCTCTTAGCATCTTGGCACGCTATGTTGCTCCTGGGAGACACCGACCAGAGCACATGGCTGCAGCGAAGAGGGTGTTGCGCTACTTGTGCAGTACGTCGGGCATGGGGCTAGTGCTTGGAGGGCGACGTCTAGTGGTCCTCACAGGTCACGCAGACGCTTCTTGGGCTGACGACCAGGCTACGCAGCGGTCGTCACAGGGTTACACCTTCAGCCTTGGCTCCGGCTCTGTTTCGTGGCGGTCTACCCGCTCGTCTTCTGTTCTCGGCTCCAGCTGTGAGGCTGAGATCTACGCGGGGGCCATGGCTGCACAGGAGCTACGCTGGCTCACCTACCTGCTGACTGACCTAGGAGAGCCGCCTCGTTCTCCTCCAGTTCTGTACGTAGACAACAAGGCCATGTTGGCCTTGTGTCGGGAGCACAGACTGGAGCACAGAACGAAGCACATTGCTCTTCGCTACTTCCTTGCTCATGAGCTGCAGCAGCGTGGTCAGCTGCGCCTTGCTTACGTGGCCTCTGAGGCCAACACTGCTGATATCTTTACCAAGGCACTTCCGCCTTGTGATCATCAGCGCTTCTGTACGATGCTAGGTCTTGTGCCTACTTGGCCTCACTTGCTCACTTCTTGACCTTGCTTGTACTGTGATCTTTCTATACCTGCACTTGCCTGTTTACCTTTATATATGATCTTGCATGTGAACTGGCCTTTTGGCCTTGCTCTTGTGCTCGTATTGTGTGGTGACGTTGTGATCCACCCTGAGCTTGCTTTGCTTTGCTTGACTGGTCTTGTGACCTCTTGTTCTCCCCCACTTTGCCTATGGGGGTGTGTCAAACTTATATGCTATAGTCTGTGTAGGCTGTAGTGGGGTAGACTCTATGGGGTACAACATTTCTAGGTTTTCCTACTTGTACCCACCTGCTTGCTAGTTCATTCATTCCTCATTCTTCACAGTTACCACTGTGGCCTTCGCTATTTACAATCCTTCGCTCATTGTACTGTTTGCTTCGATAGTGCAATTCTCGCTCGCTCGCTCAATTGCACTCGTAACAGAATGTTTGAATGTTATATATAGATCATAATCCATTATAAGACTATACATAGTGAAAAGAGAATGGATGAGCTAGCCAACCTCCAAGTAAGGAGGTGCGTTGAAGAATGCTAATCCCCTGTCTTGTAGGACAGCCTCTATGTACAGAGGTCGGCTCTGCATAGGGAGAAGGCAGAAAGCACTAAGGTGGACAAAACGTGTCGTTCAAGATCCATGGGCGTGCAAATAAGGATGAATTTCAGGAACACCATCATTAGTGAAGGTGAAAAAGCGAGTAGTCTTGGCGTAGGAGATGGATGCAGCAGTGCGGCGCCGTTTCTTGGAGGACTGCCTCTCATTACGCCATAGGAGAATCTTGAAAGCGATTAGGAGCTGGGCGAGGATGAATTGAAGAATTTCAAACGTGTTGATGTAGGAGGCCCGTGGAGATGGAAAGAGCAGGGTGGCGATGGGCCACTGCGCGTAGCGTCGTAGTGACCGATACCGCAACCCCGCATTCAAAGAAAATATGGGAGATGGTTTCGGGAAAAGACCCTTGCAGCCGTCTACCCTGTACATGAACTGGTAAAACATGGTTAATATGGAACGACATAATGTCAAGTGGTTCCCTGTCAATAAGATTGGAGGGAGACACTCGAAAAATCCGAGCAGGAAGAGGGGGCTGAAGGAGAGGGCCTCAAACGCTAGGAGCGGACGTTCGGACAAACTATGAGTCGGAATAAACCAGTCACCGAGTGCAATCTCTGGGGGAGGGGGGGAGAGGAGGGCGCGTTTCCACTCGGGCGGTATCGCAAGGAGAATTTTCTCAAGTAAACTGTTGCCAGAAGGATACTCAGAGGGGGGCCATTGCTGGATAAATTCCTCCTCGGAGATGGGACGACAAGTAGGGGGGTTAGAACGGAAGATGTGTCCGACCCGAAGTTGGAGAGTGAGCAAGAAACGCTCATGCTTACGAGTGCCAAAGGGAATTTTGTTAGGTTTAAGGATGAAACGGTTAAACACAAGAGGTTCTACCAGCAGGGAGCGCAGATCAAGGCGAGGGGGAAGCACAGTTGGCTTAAGGGACAGGAAATTTTCCAACTCATCATGAATGCGACGGAGGGTTGAGGGTCGGAGTGCCAACTTGTGCGAGATTGAAGCGTGGGCCAGGAAATGGAAGTGGGATGCATGTGCGGGCTATGGACTCCACAGACAAGGCACCGAACCGACGCAGAGCTCGTTGAATGTAGAGGGCGCGGATTTGCGTGGAGGGGGTGATCGCACCCAAGCCACCATGGCGCAATTTATTATAAAGCAGCCTTTTTGGGATAAGCCGAACACTGAGTCCGTGGTCTTTGTATTGTGAGGCAGACAAGAAATTACCGACCGTTTGATCAAGGCAGGTGCAAATATCCTTCGAGGTTGGCTGGAACCGAGCCGGGAATGAAATGACAAAGTTGAGAAAGGTTGTGGCTAGGTTTTTTCGGCATGAGGCGGTGACACGTAAGGACGAAAGATATTTGGCGATACGCTGGACCCGCGCGAGCGTGTTTGACCAAGTAGTGGTGCCCGGGGAGTCTAGCTCGACGAAAATACCTAAGATTCACTCTCCTTCATGAGATCTACGTATGGGGATTGGGCCGGCCGAAGAGATAGATTGTGGTGAGATATTGAAAGGGGTGAGCGAACACTTTTCCCAGTTAGGGGATTCCCCCAATACCGAAGCAAAGTGAGAGAGCACTATTAGAGCAGCATCAAGCTCTGCAGTTGAGTTTAGGAACATGGTAATGTCATCCGCATAGCTGGCCATAAGGCGACGTTGCGTACTTGAGAGAGCGAAGACAGGGAGGTGCGTCGACGAGAAGCGGTAGAATACTTCTACAACACAGATGAAGAGAAGGGGCGTTAGGGGACATCCTTGGCGGAGCCTAGTATTAACCGGGAAGAGAGGGCCTTTGAGATTATTGACCGCAATACAGGTCGATGTGCCAGAGTGCATCAATCGAACCCAATGGATGAATTCGTCAGGGATACCCACATGCGCGAGACAGCGGAAGAGAAAGAGATGGTCAACGGAGTCGTAAGCCTTGCGCAGATCAACAGTGAGAACGAGGAGGGGGGACGCAGCGAATGTGGCCCAATCCATAATATCAATAATATCATTGATTGTGTTTCTTATTTTCCGATTGCGCATAAATGTCGTTTGGGATGAATGTATCATGAGAGGAAGAGCTCGTTGGAGGTGATTAGGAAGGCAAATCGCTAGAATTTTGTAGTCTGCATTCATGAGAGTGATAGGGCGCAGACTATCTGGACGAGAGGAGTCGCCCTTTTTAGGAATGAGAACCGTTCGACCACGGAGCATGGAAGGTGGGAGAGAGGTGAAAGGGACGGGAGGGTTAGGTAGCGAATGGAAGAGCGGGGCAAAACGGGGCTTGAGGTGACAATATAGCTCACGTGGGAGGCCATCCGGACCAGGGGTTTTCCCACGAGAAAGCAGAGAGATGGCCTTTCCGATTTCAAGGAGCGTAAACGGGGCAGCAAGCGTAGAGATGAGAGATGAAGGGAGGGTAGTACGGGGCACGTGTTGCCAGAAGGACTCGTCACGCGAGATAAAGGTGCTGCCACTGTAGAGGGATTTGAAGAATGCAGAGCAAACTGTTGTCATGGTGGGGAGGTGTGGTGTTGTCTGTCCATTCGGAAGGATGATAGACGAGATGAGGGCAGCTTTGATACTGTCGAACTCATATGCTATAGTCTGTGTAGGCTGTAGTGGGGTAGACAATATGGGGTACAACACTTTTAGGTTTTCCTACTTGTACACACCTGCTTGCTAGTTCATTCATTCCTGATTTCTTCACATGGTATAGAGCAGGTTCCCTAGTGAGAACTTTTCCTAGGGCCCACCACTGAAAATCGAGTTATTTTTCCTGCCCTGAGATCGAGTCGCCCCTGGCCGAGGCGCGCCCTGTGTGCCGCCCTCCCCTTAGCGACTCGTCGCGCCGCCCTTAGCGGCCCCCCCCCACCCTCTCACGGCCCCTCGCGACCCTATCGCCGCCCCCTAGCGGCCCGTAGCGCCGCCCTGAGCGGCCCGTCGCGCCGCCCTCAGCGGCCCCTTGCGACCCCACCTCCACGGCCCTATCGCCGCCTTCTCGCGGCCCCGTCGCCACCCTCTCGCGGCCCCGTCGCCGCCATTCGCGGCCCCGCCGCCACCCTCGCGGCCTCGTCGCCGCCCTCTCGCGGCCGCGTCGCCGCCCTCTCGTGGCCCCAGTGCCGCCCTCTTGCGGCCTCGTCGCCGCCCTTAGCGACCCCGTCGCCACCCCTTGCGGCCCCCTCGCCGCCCCTTGCGGCCCCGTCGCCGCCCCTTGCGGCCTCGTCGCCGCCCTTAGCGGCCCCGTCGCCGCCCCTTGCGGCCCCGTTCCCGCCCCTTGCGGCCCCTCCACGGCCCCTTCACTGCCGAGCCGCCAAGCCGCCGAGCCGCCGAGCAGTCGAGCCGCTGAAACGCCGAGCCGCCGAGCCGCCGAGCCGCCGAGCAGCCGAGCCGCCGACCGCCGAAGCCGCCGTCGAGCCGCCACTACCGAGCCGCTGCCGCCGAGCCGCCGTTGAGCCGCCACTACCATTGCCGAGTCGCTGCCACCGCGGTTGCAGCCCTGTTCCTACCGGCGCGCCCCGGCCCTACCCACCCGGACTGGTGAGAGCACTCCCTGCTAGACCACTGTTGTCATGGCTACCCCCAGTGTCCTTACCTTTGATGCTGAGGGTCGTGCTGTTGACTTCGAGGTCTGGGTCGATGACCTACAGCTCTTCCTACAGTGCGACAGGGCAGACGGACTCTCCCTGTTCGATCTCACCTCTGGTGCCTCTCCTGCCCCGCCTGCTGATGCTGACAGCACTGTTCGCTCACAGTGGGCCACACGCGATGCTGCTGCCCGTCTTGCTGTGCGTCGCCACTTACCGACCGCTGAGCGTGCGCACTTTAGTCAGTACAAGAGTGCTAAGACCTTGTACGACGCTGTAGTTGCACGCTACTCTTCCCCTGCCACTGCTGCTCTTAGCCGCCTCATGCTGCCGTACCTGTTTCCTGACCTCGCCGCCTTTCCCACTGTCGCTGACCTCGTTACGCACCTTCGCACTAGTGACACCCGCTACCGCACTGCGCTTCCTGCTGAGTTCTGCCCCAAGAACCCCCCCCCCATGTACATCACCCTCTACTACATAGTCACCCGGCTCCCTGACTCCCTTCGCTCGGTCAGGGACCACTTCCTCTCTGTTTGCCCCACCACACTCACCGTTGACCTCCTCGAGGAGCGCCTCCTGGTAGCTGAGAAGAGTATAGTCGCTGTAGGAGCCTCTAGAGGTGACCCGCGTGCCCCTGTCTTTGAGGGGTGCTCCCCCTCCCCCCTTTTGCCCTCTGTTGCCTCTGCTGCTGCCGTCGACTTCGTTGGCACCGAGTCGGTCGGCGCTGCGTCTGCCCCTAGCGGGCGACGCCGCACCGGCAAGGGCAAGGGGGGCAAGGGCGTTGGAGGGGCTGGCGGGGGCGGTGGAGGTGGAGGTGGAGGAGGCGGAGGGAGTGGGGGTGGTGGTGGGAGTGGTGGCGGGGGTGGGGGCTTCGGTGGCGGCAGTGGAGGCGGAGGCGGCGGCGGCGGTGGCGGTGGGAGCGGAGGAGGAGGCGGTGGCGGTGGTGGCGGTGGTGGCGGCGGAGGAGGTGGAGCAAGTCGGGGTGGCTCTGCGCAGCGGGGCGGCTTAGGTGGTGGTCAACGCCAGAAGCAGCAGCGCACTCGTGAGACCCCGTCCCCCCAGCAGCTTCGTGAGTGGTACGCTGGGCGTCAGCGAGGTGGGGGTACTGGTCCCTGTACCTACGTCCTCCGTACCGGCGACCGCGCTGGTGAGCAGTGCGGGGGCTCGCACTCCACCCAGCGCTGCTTCGGCCGCCTAACGGACGCTTGGCGTCACCAGTTCCCTGACGCCACTGAGATCCCTCGCTGGGGAGAGCTGTCTAGGGCGGGGGTTGCTATCTTTGATCTTGACTATGATGCTATTCTTGCTGCCATGTATGCTGTGTCTACTAGTGATGAGGGTGACCTGTGTGTCCCGCCTGACCCGGGCATTGAGGCTGCTGCTCTAGGTGCTGGTGAGGCTGCTGCTCTAGGTGCAAGTGCGTCTGCTGCCCCAGGTGCTGGTGAGTCTGCTCTCTCAGGTACCACGTCGGCTCAGGCCTTACACACCTTCACCCTTGACTCGGGTGCTTCCCGCTCCTTCTTTCGAGACCGCACCACGCTTACGCCGCTTAGTCGGCCGGTTGCGGTCTCCCTGGCGGACCCCTCTGGGGGTCCTGTCCTTGCTCGCCTCTCCACTGTCTCGCTTCGCCAACTACTACAACAGGTTCGTGCCGCAGTACGCTAAGATAGCAGCGCCACTAACCGACCTACTGAAAAAGGATACGCCCTACAAATGGGATACCCTTCATCAGCAAGCCATGGAGCAGCTACAGACAGCACTGACTACAGCGCCAGTACTCATCTTGCCGGATCCAGACAAGGACTACGTGGTGGAAGCAGACGCTAGTGACCAAGCAGTCGGAGCAGTACTGATGCAGGATCACGGACGCGGTTTGCAGCCCATCGCCTACCTCAGTAAGAAGCTACACGGAGCAGAACTAAACTACCCCATTCACGACAAGGAAGCCTTAGCGATAGTCATAGCCTTCAAAGCGTGGAGGTGTTACCTAGAGGGAGCCAAGACTACAGTCTATACTGACCACTGCAGTCTCAAATACCTGAAGTCACAGCCGACACTCTCACAACGACAGGTGCGGTGGGTGGACTTCCTGGAAACTCACTTCCACTACGACATCATCTACAAGCCCGGGCTACACAACAAGGCAGACGCGTTGAGCCGCCCCGGACATGTAGCAGGCATCCAGCTCGACGGGATGAACCCTCTGCTCAAGGGTCTATTCCAACATGGGTACTCCGTGGACGCAGAGATTGCTACAGCATAGACCAAGAAGCTATTACAGTGGGAGAAAGACTTAGCTGTAAGGAAGGGTTCAGGAAAGATTTGGGTACCAAATTACGCCCCGCTACGGTAGATCCTATTGGAGGAGTTTCACGACGTACCTTACGCGGGACATTTCGGGAGCAACAAGACGTTAGCAGGGATAGCGAAGTATTACTACTGGCCCGGGATGGCAGCAGACGTGCAGCAGCTCGTCACCTCTTGCGACACGTGCCAGCGGATGAAGAGCAGCAAGCAGAAAAAAGCAGGGTTACTTCAGCCTCTACCCGTACCGGAGCAGCCATGGCAGGTCGTTAGCCTCGACTTCATCACAGGACTCCCTTCGACCTCACGGGGACATGATTCCATCCTCGTGGTGATCGATAAGTTCTCCAAAATGGGTCACTTCATACCAACCAACGCCACAGCTACAGCTGAAGCAACTGCTCGACTCTTCTTCGACCGCATCATCACCATCCACGGCATCCCCGCTACACTCATCTCAGACAGAGAACCCAAATTCACGAGTAAGTTCTGGAAGGAGCTCATGGGACTGTTGGGGACAAAACTTGCAATGTCTTCAGCATACCACCCCCAGACTGACGGACAGACAGAGCGACTCAATCAAGTGGTTGAACAGTTACTGCGCACAGCTTGCAAGGACGACGTCAGCCACTAGGACACACAGTTACCGACCCTAGAGTTCGCTTACAACAACGCATCACATGCGGCCACAGGAAAAACTCCTTTCTTCCTGTGTTACGGACGGGAACCACTCACACCACAGCAGCCAACCACACCGGCATACGTCCAGGCCGCACATGACTTCGTCACCACCATGCAGCAGCTATGGGAGAAGACTCAGCGACGTCTCACAACGATGCAAAACTCCCAGAAGCAGTATGCCGATCGTCAGCGACGTGATCACTCAGTAGCAGTCGGAGATCAGGTGCTTCTTGACACACGCAACTTGAACCTGTCTCACCTCCAATCCAAACTCCGGCCTCGCTTCTGTGGTCCTTTTCTCGTTGAGGCACAGGTGACACCAGTTACATTCCGCTTGCGCTTACCAGATACATGGAAGCTTCACAACGCTTTCCATGTCCAGCTACTGAAACCCTACAAGGACCCCAACCAACAGTTCCAGGGACGGCGGCTGCCGCCACCACCACCTGTTCTTGTGCAGGATGAACCCGAGTACGAGATCGAGCGCATTCTCGCTCATCGGCGCCGCGGCGGCAAGACCCTCGAGTTCCTGATACGCTGGAAGGGATACGACCCCACTGAGGACAGTTGGGTTGCAGAAGCTGATATGGGCAACGCACGCCGTGCTCTCAAGGACTATCTTGTCAAGCAGGGTGTATCTCACGCCACCCAGCTTTGAGGGGGGGACGTGTGAGAGTACGACGGCTTATGCCAGCTATGCTTGCATGCCTTTACTTTATCATGCTATTTCTAGCATAGGATAATCATATGCATGCATGAATTGCTTGATTTCCTAGGCTAGGTGCTTTCCTATATTTTATTATAGTTATAGCACCGAGCTAGGTTGCGTGCACCGAATTCTGGCTTTTCGGTTGCCACCGAATTGCCTTCTACCGAATTCGGTAAGGATCTGTTCGGGACGCTTCGCGACCCGCGGAACCTTCGCGTAACACCTGGTTACGGGGCCTTGTGTCGAGCCTATATATAGCCTCGTGTTGTACCCAGGTGATCATTCAATTCAATTTGAATCATCTTTTCTGAGCTCGATCCCAGATCCTCACACGTGTGGCCTCTTGCGGTGCTTCGTCGAGGCGGGAGCTACCCTCTCCGCAGGAGCTGCGCGAGTGGTTTGCCCGGCGCTGGAGCCGTGCTGCTGGAGCTGGAGGTGCTACTGTTGCTGCTGGTCCTGGAGGTGCTCGTACCGGTGGTACTGGAGCTGCTGGGACTGGGGGTGCTGCTAGGGCTACTGGAGTTGGTCCTGCTCGAGGAACTGCTGGAGCTACTGGCGGTACTGCAGCTGACGGTCCTACTCGAGCTGGAGCTGCTGGAGCTGGAGCAGCTGGGGGTGTTGGCGCTGGAGGTGCTGCTGGCGCTGGTGCTTCTGAGGGTGCTGGAGTTGGCGATGTTGGAGCTGGAGGTGCTGCTGGCGCTGGTGCTGCCGCTGGGGGTACTGGTGCTGTCCCTGCTGGTTCTGGAGGCGCTGCGCGGCCGTGGCCGTACTTCGTTCCGCTCCTTGAGCAGGTTCTTGGTCTCCCGCCATCTACTGGTCCTGCTCCTCCCTTAGAGTGTCCACAGCCTTTCCAGTCGCGGTCACAGTTACAGCCCGCCTCCCCCCTACCTGCTCCTTCTCCCTACACTGGTCCTACTGGAGGTCTTGCTGAGCGTCGTGAGCCCGCGTCTTGTCCTGCGTCGCCTGTTTGTGCTGCTCGCACTAGTACTCGTGCTCCGCGTCCGCGTCCTCCTGCGGTCCCAGGCACACACCAGATGGCACTGGGTCCTTCCACTCCTCCTCTGCGTGTCCCGTTGCCGTCTCCTCCAGAGTCCTCTCTTCGTGTTCTTGCTGACCCGGAGTCTGACTCTCTTCGTGCTGCCAGTCCTACTGTCACGCGTCTCCTGGCTACTATTGTCACTGACCCTTCCTTTGAGTCCACTGCTGCGTCTGCCTTAGTTGCTGAGCTTGTCGACTTTGCTGCTCGCTGTCGTCTCGACTACGCCGCTAGTCTCTTGCTGAGTTTGAGTCTGTGTGTCCTCCGTCCGTCGGGGGTGAGTGTGCTCTTAGCACGGACGTCCTTGAGGACAGGCAGTTCCAATATTTTGCTGCTGCTTTGCCTCATCTCATGTCCACGCTGATTTCCCTTGAGGGAGACCCGGATGCACCATCATCCCGACTCCTCGATCGTACGCTGAGGCGATCGAGGGTCCCTACTCCTCACAGTGGCAGTCAGCCATGGACGCAGAGATGGCTTCCTGGAAGTCCACAGGCACCTACGGCGATGAGGTTCCCCCACCTGGGGCGAACATCGTCAGTGGCATGTGGATTTTCAGGGTGAAGCGGCCGCCGGGTTCTCCGCCTGTCTTCAAGGCGCGTTACGTGGCTCGAGGCTTCAGTCAGCGGCAGGGAGTTGACTACTTTCAGACCTTCTCTCCCACCCCGAAGATGACCACTCTTCAGGTGCTGCTGCACATAGCCGCTCAGCGCGACTACGAGCTTCACTCTCTTGACTTCAGCACAGCTTTTCTGCAGGGCAGCCTGCATGAGGAGATCTGGCTGCGCCGCCCACCTGGCTTCACTGGGTCGTTTCCTCCTGGTACCCAGTGGAGCCTCCGGCGGCCAGTCTACGGTCTCCGCCAGGCGCCCCGTGAGTGGCACGACACACTGAGGACTACACTTGCGGCTCTTGGGTTTGCTCCTTCTACTACCGACCCGTCGCTGTTTCTGCGCACCGACACCTCTTTGCCGCCGTTCTACATCCTCGTGTACGTCGACGACTCGGTCTTTGCCACAGCTGACACTGCTGGACTCGCCCACGTGAAGTCCGAGCTGCAGAAGAGACACACGTGCACAGACCTGGGTGAACTACGCAGCTACCTTGGCTCGCAGATCACCCGGGACAGAGCACAGCACACCATTACCCTGACTTAGTCACACATGGTGCAGCAGGTCCTTCAGCGCTTCGACTTCACGTACTCCTCGCCTCAGGCCACTCCTCTGTCTACTCGCCACTCGCTCTCTGCTTTGCCTTCGGATGAGTCCGTAGAGCCGAGTGGCCCGTACCCAAAGCTTGTTGGCTGCCTCATGTACCTGATGACCTGCACACGACCTGACCTTGCATACCCTCTTCGCATCTTGGCACGCTATGTTGCTCCTGGGAGACACCGACCAGAGCACATGGCTGCAGCGAAGAGGGTGTTGCGCTACGTGTGCAGTACGTCGGGCATGGGGCTAGTGCTTGGAGGGCGACGTCCACTGGTCCTCACAGGTCACGCAGACGCTTCTTGGGCTGACGACCAGGCTACGCAGCGGTCGTCACAGGGTTACACCTTCAGCCTTGGTCCCGGCTCTGTTTCGTGGCGGTCTACCCGCTCGTCTTCTGTTCTCGGCTCCAGCTGTGAGGCTGAGATCTACGCGGGGGCCATGGCTGCATAGGAGCTACGCTGGCTCACCTACTTGCTGACTGACCTAGGAGAGCCGCCTCGTTCTCCTCCAGTTCTGTACGTAGACAACAAGGCCATGCTGGCCTTGTGTTGGGAGCTCAGACTGGAGCACAGAACGAAGCACATTGCTCTTCGCTACTTCCTTGCTCGTGAG